TAGTGATGTTATAATCAATGATTATATGTAAATTGACTCAAACCTATTCCAAAAATTTAACTCAAGGTCTCAGGGTTTTTTAAATATTTACTAGAAATATTTCTTGAACATAATTTATTTCCCAGTTTAACTATTATCATTTAATTAATAACGCGTCTTAATATTAATAGAGACTCATTATTAATTCATTGTTGATTAAGTCATAAATTAATTTAATAATAATAATACTAAATATCTATACATAAACCCACCTATATTTTTTTTTATCTGTCCATCCCATTGGAAATTTTTTGTGCTCTCACATGTGATTTTTCAAAACTCCCCATACATGTCAAACATATTTTCTATTTGAATGAAGCACTTACTAATCCTTTTTTTCGAGATTCAGATTTTCTCTAATATACCTTTATTTTTAATTTTCCTTTCTTAGCACATCTTTCACAATGCATTTAAGTGATCCTAGTATACAAATGAGTTTCTCACTCATTAATAGTGAATGGTGTGTCAAAAAGAGAGTTTATTGGAGATAATTTTACTTTCTTTTCTTGTGTAACATTTGCTAGTAGCTATCTATTTCATTCACTTTTTTGTGGTCTACCCACTGGCGAGCTATTTTTTCCTCGGAAGCTAGCCCATAGGATCTTTTGGGTTTTTCCTGGCAACTAACCCTTTATGATCCTTGAGGCTCCGTTATCACGGTAGGAATCTTGTAACCACTAATATTTTTGGACTTATTTTATTGATATAATTTAGTGACTTGATTTTTCACAATCATTAAATTGCTAGTGAGTTAAAAAAGTAATAAAATTAACTATCATTCAACAATTATTAAAGGTGAAATTAACAAATAGCATGTTTTCCTCCGGTACATATAGTTTCAAAGCCTACTTTCAAAAGCTTAGCATGAAGCCATAGTAATTTGTTCTGATATAAACCCTAATTTGATCTCTTGCTCAATCAATCTAATATATTTTTTGTTTTGCACTCTAACATGTGAGTTTCCAATAGGTGATCCGCAGCTTCCATTAGGGTTTTCAGAAGACACCAAAGATCAAGGACTTATGGTGCAGTGGAGTCCTCAAACAAAGGTTTTGGCACATCAATCTGTTGGGTGTTTTTTGAGTCATTGTGGGTGGAATTCTCTCTTGGAGGCGATCACCGCCGGTGTCCCTGTACTTGCTTTTCCGAAGTGGACCGACCAGCCAACTAATGCGAAACTCATTGTCGATGTTTTAAGGGTTGGTGTGAGGCTCAGACCTGACAAAGAAGGGGTGGTCAGTAGTGAGGAAGTGGAAAAATGTATTGAAGAAATTATGAGCGGGCCAAGTTCGGAGGAATATCATAAGAATGCGACGAGTTGAAGAGGGCCGCCAGAGAGGCGGTGGCAGACGGTGGCTCATCTGGCCGGAATATCCAGTGGTTCGTGGATGAGCTCATTGGCAATTCTTGTCCATGACGCAAAGGTGGAGGATGTTCCCGAAGAATATATTTTTCGCTGTCACCTACTCAATGTGGGACAAAACATAGGATCAGGATTGGATGTAAAAAAAATGTAAGGTTGTGCAAAAATAAATATTTTTTTTTGCACTAATGCAATTGGAATATAATTTATGGACATAATTTGAGAATGTCACCAATGAAATGATAGTAAATTGTATTTAATATCATTTTTTCTTTTGGTTTCTATTTGATATTGGTTACAATCTGTCGATCTTCCTTGTATTTTGATATCAAGTTGAATTATCATCTTACCTAAAATTTAAGTTATTAGAAAGGGTGTCGGTTTATACATTTTAACATATTTCCTTCATGTCCTACAAGACCTTTAGTCAAGTATGTGATTTTTTTCCCTCTAAATATTATGGTAGCGGCGATAAACAAACACAATATCTCCTACTTTAATACTATGATAAATTTAGATGTAAAAAATAAAAGAGGATACAAGAAAAAAATAACAAGGAATTAAGGTAGTCCGGTCCTAAGATCTACATTCATGGCACATAAAATCCAAAGGACTACTTCTTTATTCAGTCTTGGTTTAACAACACACAAGAAATACATCCATGCACATGGGGTGACAGCTAACAAGTACAATCATATCACTTAATTAATGGGATTGAGATAAATCCAAAGATGAAATCGGGTCCACAATCTTGGTTAATTGATTGTCTGGTCAATCACAAGATATCTATAAATTATGGGATATACTTTTATCTCCAATAGATTCGAGTCTTAAATTCTAGAGTAACTACATAAGATATCATTAAACTCTGACTCTTTTGTCAATTAGTTTTTGAACTAAATTTCGTATTATTTGACTCTCTAAACTTAAAAAAATTAATAATGAGTTTTTGAATTAATTTTTCGTCAATTGAGCCCTCTAATTTTAAAATTTTAGCAATGAAGTCTTTTTTTTTAGTAATTGTTAGGTTTTTGACGAATGTCTTAGGTGCTCACCACATGGACAACAGAATAAAGGTATTTTAAATTGTTTGTTCAAAATATATCAAATGAAAAACCCCATTTCTTACACTAATCAATCAAAACTCTAAACCTAAACCTCTTTCATACTCATCAAATTAAGTAGATCGACAAACTCTTTGAAGAGCCTATATTTATGTAATATGTTTTTTATACCGGATCAAGAGTTTGCTGCACTGCTTTTGTTTGATAGATATGAAAGAGGTTTAAATTTAGGATTTTGGTTGATGGTGTAAGGAATGAGATTTTTCGTCTGATATGTTTCGAATAAACAATCTAAAATACCTCTTTCTGTTGTCCATACATGAGACCTTTCGTCTAAATATTTAACGACTATTAACATAAGGGCATAATTGCAAAAATTTTAGAATTTAGGGTCAATTGACATGAAAATTAATTCAAGGGCTTAATTATTAAAAGTTTAGAGTTTAGTAACTCAATTAACACAAAAATTAGTTCAAAGACTTAATGCCACAAATATCATAGTTTAAGGGTCATTTTTATAATTTACTCTAAATTCTAACTGTTCAATGTTAATTAATTTGAAAAAAGAAAATCCAGGGAATGAATTAAAACTTCTTCCAAATTTCAAGAACATTCATGATTTTACTAAGAATAGAGACATTGCACCCAACTTAAACGCTTGTATGCTTGGCCACAAGCTATGTATGAGTTTCTGCAATATGGTTGGTGTCTTCTTGTATTTGTAACTTTTAAGCAGAGATGATTCCAGATGCTTGGTACGTAAATGTTGTCATGAACACCGTCCGTTTCCTTGATGTTTCTGCTGGAGTAAAATTAAATATGTGGGCTTATATATTAAATAAATATGAATTATTGGCTATCAAAAAAAATTAGGCTAATTAAAGTGATTAATTTAAGTTTTAGGGCCTTAATTAATATATTATAAAGTGTGAACATTAATGTGTAGAGACAAGCGTAATTTATATTTTTATGATGGATTAAATAGAAATTACGAACATGCGTGACTGCTTATAAACAGACACAATTGTTTATAAATAGGGGTCATGGTCCCCAGATCATATATGATTTTTCTATCTTTCTGATTCCCATTGTCAGAGAGAAATTTAGACAGAAAATAAGTGTAAATCTAGAAGATCATAAAACCTCAGACAACAAGTATAGATCTAGAATTACAAGTTTAATCATAAATCCTCAGACTCGAATATTGCAATATTTTGTTATGGATTCAGGTAGGCTTCCACAATTCCAATATTTTAATTCTTGATGATTCAATATGCATGTTCCTGTTTATGTGATGGTTTTCACATAATGAAGTCAATCTTACATGTGGTATCAGAGCCATTTCATGTTGAATTATTGAGAATAAATTAGGATAAGATTTTTTGTTAGGGCCGAAAATATTTTTCAAAAAAAAAAAAAGTTTAATATTTTTGGAAATATTTTATAACAAAAAAATTCTACATCTAATTAAGAGTCCAACGATATAAATTTCATAATTTTTGGACATACGATTGATTTTATAAGTATTTTAAGTTAAAAAAGGAGATGTAGAATCGTTCACTGTTTTGTTCTGTATTTTTGATTCTGAATCCGTGAAGAAGAAGACCTAAACAATGTTGTTTTGTTTACATTCATACGAGGCATATAGTTTTTAAATTTATTCAGACGCATCTAATCACAATGAGTGTGTTGGTTCAATGGCATTGTTGCACTACTTAGATGAATGGGGTCTATGGTTTGAATCCTATTTGAGTATTCTGTATGTATATATGGGATTTGATCATTGGACCTCCCATTTGGAAACTACACCAGACCACCATTAAAGTTAGACCAACCTTGTTTATTAAGTTAGTTATTTAAATATAAATATGTTGAAGCTACAGTTCATTTACATAAATTTACATTCAAATATTGGTGTTTAAATATATATTTTGAGATAAATTAATTTAAAAAATATGTCACCAAAGTGTCCTCTTTTTATGAAAATTAATTTTATTTCAAATATAACAAGATTATGTGCATGTAACTTATGTGAATATTAATCGGTGTAAAGGAAGATTAATATTTAACAGAATTGCATGCACACCTGTGGTAATAAACGCATGATGATTATTTGGTTTTACATATGAATAATACATTGGCTCAAAGGAAGATTTATTATTCGATATGTTCTTATTATCAGTGTTTGATTACTACACCTAGATATCACTTACAAGTTAATATTTTTTATCCAAAGATAAAATATTAATAGAGTGTCTGGTATCTTGAGATGGGGTTTGCCTTTATTTGAATTTATTTTTGTTTTGAGACTTATGTGAGATTATTTTGCTTGTTTGTTGTTCTCTGGATTCAGCTATTAGTTCTGCTTCTAACATTAATACCAACATTAATTCTATTCCTATCCTAAATGACACAAACTTCAAGACATGACATGAGAACCTCCATATAGTTCTTGGTGTCATGGATCTGGACCTTGTGTTAAGGGTTCCTTCTCCTGCACCTCTTACTGATGAAAGTTCCTCTGATGAAAAGAGGGATATTGAAAGGTGGGAGAAGTCAAATCGCATGTGTTTGATGATCATTAAAAAGGTCATTCCAGAAGCATTCAGGGGCATAATATCCGAAACGATAAAGACAGTCAAAGAGTTTCTAGAAGAAATTAAGAATAGATTTGCTAAGAATGAAAAGTCTGAAACAAGTACACTTTTGGCAAATCTCATCACAATGAAATATAAAGGTAATGAGAATATTAGGGAGTACATTATGGAAATGTCCCATCTCGCTTCAAAGTTAAGAGCACATAAACTTGATCTCTCTGAGGATTTGCTTGTGCATTTGGTTCTGATATCTCTTCCCACACAATTCAGTCAATTTAATGTGAGCTACAACTGCCAAAAAGAGACTTGGTCTCTTAATTAGCTCATCTCACATTGTGTGCAAGAAAAGGAGAGGTTGAAGCAAGAAAAGATAGAAAGTGCTCATTTGGCTGGTACTTCCAAGGATAAAAGGAAGAAAAGAAACAAGGATAAAGCAGCTGCAGAGGTTCCATATCCAAAGAAACAACATAAAGAAAAAAATGTTGATGGTTGTTTCTTCTGTGGAGCTGCGGGACATAAGAAGAAGCAGTGTACCAATTATCATGCTTGGCGTGCAAAGAAAGGTACACTTATTAATCTAGTTTGTTTTGAGGTTAATTTGACTTCGGTACCTAAACACACTTGGTGGATATATTCTGGTGCTACCACTCACATCAGTGTCTCCGTGCAGGGCTGCCTGAGCTGCCGAAAGCCAAATGATGGGGAAAGATACATCTTTGTAGGCGATGGCAAGAAGGTCGAAGTTGAGGCAATTGGGATATTTAGGTTATTATTAAAGTCTGTTACTTATTTGGATTTGAATGAGACATTTATTGTACCATCCTTTAGACGGAATTTGGTTTCTATTTCTGTATTGGATAAATTTGGTTATTCTTGTTCTTTTGGAAATAATAAATTTAGTCTTTTTCAAAATTTAAATTTGGTTGGTACTGGTTCTTTATCTTATGAAGATAACCTTTATTTGCTTGATACAGTTGCTTCATATCATGAAACCTTGCAAGTAAGTACTCGAGGTGTTAAAAGAAAATTAACCAATGAGAATTCCTCATCATTATGGCATAAGAGATTAGGTCACATTTCCAAAAGGAGAATTGAAAGACTTGTGTCATATGGGATTCTAGATTCTCTTGATTTTGCAGATTTTGAAATTTGCACAAAATGCATAAAGGGAAAACAAACAAACACAAGGAGATTTGGTGCCAACAGGGCTACGGATGTCTTAGAACTGATACATACAGATATTTGTGGGCCATTTCCTATGAATTCATGGAATGGCCAACAATATTTTATCACGTTCA